TTCCAAACCCATAAGACCTTCGTTCATCTTCGGAACACAAATTAAGATATTTTTGATGGAATCTGAGAGCTTTCTTACCCTGCATAGACAACAACGCAACTGCAATGTTCCCAGGTCCAGAAACGTAGCAAGGAGATCGGTAAAGTTGTCCATGTGACATCAGGGGTTCAACCGTAATTTTACGAAGCTACGAGAATACTTTTTGTGCGCAAAAAAAAAAAAGTGACGACTTTATTCAATAATTCATCTCCCCCACGTCACCCTGGCGCCATTTTGGAGAGTATCCACTGGACGTAAACAGCGTATGCTATTCTGTGTCAGCTGCATCACACGGATATGTTTTCTACGTTGTTGCGCTTTGATCTGAACGAAAACAGCATATCCGCGTTGTATCCGTATGTGTGTGTGTCTGTCTGTCTGTCTGTCTGTACTTGTTTATATGATTTATCAAGGTTTTACACTGGTATAATAACATAAATGCAGTTTATGAGGATAGTCATTATGATTCAAATACTTACAAACATACTAAACAATGTTTTATTTAAAATGCAAATATACAGAAAGATTTGTGTGATGACTATACAGTTTGTACTGTAAAAAATCATTACAGCTATGGAGTGTCCCCAGAAAACATAAAAACCAATGTATGTGTGTGTGTGTGTGTGTGGCTTTGTGACACTGGAGAAATTTTGACATGCCCTGACTTTTGTGTTTTTAAGTATCTTAAAAATATATTAATGGCTAAAGTCTGATTATACTGTATTCAGCCCGAACTGGGCTACAATAATATGTGAGCAGCATGAATGTACATGTTTGTGTTTTTGCGAAAACAACGTTTATGCGTGGGTAGTGAAAAACTAAAAGTTTTGTTTAAAATGTTTGTTTTAAATGTTTGTTTAACCTTTTGAGCAGTATGGTCCCACATATGGGATTTAGAACGTTCGGTGACGTCACATAACTGTCAAATTCAAACTGTTGGCTGGCGCTGAGCCATATTGTCATATTATCACAACTATACAGTGTTCTTAACCACATAATGCATATTTTAGGTTTCAGACATTTAAATACACATAAGTACTAGTAAAACAATACATTTAGAGCTTGTAAAATACACACAGGTGTCTATGGAAGCAACAATAACAATCCATTCAAATTTAATTTGCCATGTGTTTTATTCATATCAGATACACAGTGTAAGTAACTATAAAGTTCACTCTATTCTTCACCCAGTTCACCGGCCACTTACTTACATGTATTTCGGGAGAAATTGATGAATTCACGTGCTGTAAATCCGACTGACAGGATTTAGGAGGCGCGAACAAACATGGAGGCACCCATCTCACGTTACAGATCACGATCAAGATCATTTGTAAAGGTGTTTAAACCACAGACATGTATAGACGCCCCATTCGACGGCTCCAGGCACGTACATCTTGGAACGGTCAACTTGACGTCATTCACCATTCTGTAGGTCCGCACAGAGCCCTTGAGCCGTTCTGTGCAGGATTATGGCATCTTTCAAATATTCAGTGATTACTATGGTGAGTGACCTCAAGTTTACCATTACAATATGGCGGACGGCTTACGTATAGCGGCCCATAGAAAAAGTCGCTAATGAGGCATCTATGTATATATATCTATGGTTTAAACGACGAAACACACTCATTTACACATATTTGTGAATCGGAATATCAGATTGTTCATGACATGGTAAGCAAGTTTGTGAATATATTAAATAAAAAAGGAAAAACTAAATAAAAGCAGCAAAATATACAGTGTTATTGTGGCCGCGGTGAGTAACGTGACAAGCATGACGCGTCGCCATGGAAACGGTAAGGAGAAACGTTCTAAAATAACGGTCGCCTTAAAAAAAACTCTGGGGGCACCGCTAGAATATTTTAAACTCACCAGTGAAAGTGTTAAAATGTATGATAAATGGCTTGCTTTGCTTTAGTAACATGTTTGTTACTATGCTGTCATATATAGATATATATTTTATTTATTTCCATATTCTTTAAAATAGAGATAAGTCTCTTTTTAGCTTGAAATGTTTATGTATGTGCGTACCTGTTTATATGATTTCTCAGAACACAAATTTGTATAATGACATGGGTATTACACTGATATAACAATGTAAATGTGGTTTATGATGAAATTCCTTGAGTCCTCATAATTAAGATAGCTTACAAACAATATTTAATTCAAAATGGAATCATATGCAGAAATTTTTGTGTGATGGGTAGGTTTAGAGTTTGTACAGTAAAAAAATCATTATGTCTATGGAGTGTCCCCGCAAACCAGATGTGTAATACTCCCAAGGATTGACCTGTGCAAAATTTCTT